GGCCTGGCCGCGGACTCCCACGGCCGCTGGTCAGGCGGCCAGACCCCGCGCCGGACGAGGCAAACTTTAAAAGGGCTCAGCACGAGTGCGGTTGGTGTCTAGGGTGCCCGTTGCAGGCAAGGGTCAAAACGGAAAACAAACACGTTCCACAGGGCGGGCCAGAATCAGAGGTCTTCACCTGATCTTCAAATTGCCCTGAGCAGCCGTTTCACAGGAACAAGTATTTGGACTATTTGCTAATAATACTACAGTTATTTGCTGCAAAACTGTCTTATATTCAATATCTGCAAAATGGAGAGACTCTGAAAGCATTCAAGAATACTATAAATACTAAAAAGAAGAAGATAAAAAAATAATTAAATAATCAAGAGTGGCCTTTATGGAAAAAAACAAGTTATATTTGTTTCCATATGGCCAGGATAAATGCCATACCGCTCATTCCTTTTAGATAGTGTATGTATTTACTCAGCTGTTACATTATCAGGATCGCTTGCTGTTTTCACCATTTTACTCTTTAACCGTGCAGCCTGGGGGAAGCCCCGCTCGTGCTCCCCCCGGCCGCCGGGACCACGGCCTCACCTCCAGCAGCTGACTCGCGGGCCGGCCGTGCGTATTACACCCCGCTTGCAATTTGCATGTAGTGGTTTCCTGCAGGAAGCTGGTTCTCTGCCAAGGAATCTTCCTGGGCATCCTTGACTATTCTTGCTCCGGTTTGGCTATGGGTCCAATGAGCACCCTTCATCCCCGCATTACAGGCACAAGTGATGGGTGTGGAAGAAAAATAACAAACAGTACTGCTCAGTGCCAAAGACTAGGTTACGTGGAGCCCAGGTCTGATCAAATACGGCAGTACATGATTTTCTGCTGGCTTGGTTTTGTTGCTACTGTTTGTTTTCCCCATTTTTTAGGTTAAGGATTAAAAGGGAAAGATTACTCTGAATAACAGAGTAGATCAATTTGTACATTAAACTTCTTTGTATTTATTTTTTTAAATGACCTTTCTTTGGGATTGCTCTCTGCACTCGGCTTTTTCCAGTTCTTCCTTTTGGTTTGTTTTTCTGTTGGCTCATTTTTTGTTTTGTTTTGTTTGTGAGTCCATATTGAGCAGCTTCTCTTACTTAAAATCTCATACACTTTCATCAGTACACAGCTGGTAAAGTTCCAACTTCATTTTTATTGGACTTGTATTTTAAGCTGATGATGTGGCTTTTTTATGTTCCATCAGTCCCATCCTGCTCAAATTGAAATAACTTCTGCTCATAAACTTAAAAGGGACAGGGGTTGGGCATATATTTGAAATCAAAGTCCTTATTTGTATGTGATGTGTCCAGAAAAAAATATGGAACCAGGACATGTTGTAGAAATGCAAAACACAACCTGGCCAATAGTTGTACTAATTAAGATGGATTTTTATTCTTGAAAAAATTGGAGGTTAGAAAATACGCTTTAATGTGGATAGCAGCTGTACTGCAGGGTAATGATATAAACAAGAGAGTCAGATAACTGCCTCCATGTGGAAGTTTATTTCTATATAGAAACCAAGTTCTATGGGCAAATGTTATTATCTTATCATATGTGGTCAAGAACCAGAAAATCCATGGGCTCCAGGGGTTCATGGAGCTCTTTAACAACCTTCTTTATAATTTTCTTTTAAATAAAAACAGATTGAGAACAAGTGTTAAACAATGGAGCCAGATCTGCAGTGGGTAAAAATCATGCTGCCACTGAACTCACTGGAATAAATCCTGGTCCCCCACTGAAGTCAGTGAGAGTTTTGCCTTTGACTTCAACAGAGCCAAGATTTTATGCAACAGATTCACAATGCCCACTTAGACCAACAGCAGATGTGCTACATGGCACAACAATGGGCCTGTAATCCTTCCAGAGAAAAAACAGATCCAAGTCCAGCTCAGTGGAGATGGTCCAAACCATGCCAAACACCACAGACCCTGAATGGGTGAAACCCGAGAAGAGAAGCACTTAGACCCTCACACTGCTCTCACACCACCGCAGCAGAGAAGTCCAGGGAGATGTCCTCCTCAAAACTAATTCTTCCCCACTTCATCAACTGCTTGCCCAAAGCTCTTCACGTAGGCCGCTGAGGTCCCTGCCTGAGAACCCAAGGTAGAGCCTTGCCCCGGACAGGACGCTTCAAATTTCTTCACAATGTACTAGGTACTGTTGCACTACTCTTAGTCCTCAGACCTCTAAATTAATGAATGAAATCCCACCATGTTTATTTTATTGGGAGGGAGGGAGGGAGGAGGACAAGATACCCCGACTAAGCTCTGACAATTAATCTGAGGGTGTGTCTACACCGCTGTCAAACATGACTACGTCACACAGGCGTTTGCCTTTACTAGAGACAGGCAAAGAAGTAGGAAAAAATGATGATCTGCCTTGAACAGAATATCTAGTCTGAAGAAACGGTCTTATAGCAGCTTATGCTGGCATACCTGAAGTAGCTTTAAAAAAGCTAGCCGAGCTATGAACAGCACTGTAACTGAAATGATATGGAGCTGAGCACAGCCTGCCTGCCTGAATTTACTCGGATTTACAGACCTACACTAAGATTTTTCTATCAGTTCCTCTTCTAGCTAGGGTACGTCTGTATAAATTGCAGTCAGATCTTTCCTGTCGAGAAGATGTTCTCTCAACATTTAATTTTGCTTAGTAAAATGAAATCATCCTAAGCTTATGCCACCAGCTACTGCTATGAAAGACTGTTTTAAAATACAAATAACTGCATGTTGCAATTAGAAAACGTGTATCTGAGACTTCTAAGATCTCTTTTTGCTTTCAGGGAAACATCAGTCTTTTCCTGATCTTAGCTGGCCTGCGAGGTGAGAAGAAGATGGACAGCAGCACTATGCCTTGTCCAAAGGACGCATGGCAGATGCCCACCTGGGCAGATTCCTTAGAACTCCTCACGATCCAAAACGCTTCCAGCTCTTACCCGAAAGGTTCCCCCAGAAGAATTTTTCTTTCTGACCTCCTCACTAGGCACTATAATACCTTTCGCCTCACTAGGCACTATAATACCTTTCTGCAAAAGGACCCTACATTAGCTTCTGTTATGTTTTTTTATGCAGATCGTTGTCTTTGCTTTCACCCTTAACTGGTATGCATACTTTGTGGCTATGTAACATTATAAAGCTTAATAAAAAAGAAGAAAAATTAAAACAGCATGCCAGTTCATTTCCTCCATACTTGATATTTCCAGGCCCTGTACTGTTTGAACCCTTTTGCCATTACGTGGCAGTATTATATACTGCCTAAAAAAAAGACATGTATTTAATGCTGATTTTTAAAGAGTGTAAAACTGGATCAGAGCCTTTTCTCCCCTTTAACCTGAGCACAGTCATGACAAGATACATAACACAAAGAACAGACCAATGCAAAATTAATAAATTAGTGAATTATCAAGCCCTCTTTGATAATTTCGCTTCCACTCTTTTCTATGAAAGGCAAAAAGATCATTTCTGGTGCCAAAGAAATATTCTTGGAAAAACAATGTGAAAAGAAACGAAATTAAAGCAGTAATACCAAGGCTAAACACTTTGATTCCTGTAGTAAAGAATGAGGGTAATATTAAAAAAAAAAAAAAGTACATCTTTAACTGATAATTAATACACTCCTGCCTACGACAGGAGAGCCACTGACTGATTGTATGCAAGGGGGCCACCTCCTCGCCTGCTCTTTCTGAGACCTGCGTAGAAGCGACTCCTTGGGGTCCGCAGAGACGCGCAGGACGTGCCCAGCGGTGCGGCGCGCACAGGCCTCCGTGACTCTGCCAACACAGCAGCAGCACAGGACATGCCCAGAACTTCTGGGGCTTTCATGAACTTTATTGTCAAAAAACTAAGTGCTTAGACAGTACTTCTGAGGCCTGCCACCTTCCGACTAAGGGACTTAACTG